TTTTCTAATTTGGCCATACGCATATCTACTAACAGTGAGCCTAATGGAGATCCCATGGCTACTCCGTCTGTGACGGTAACAGTTTTCTATCAGTAAAGGCACACCTCAGTATTATCTCCTTCAGATTCAGGGTTGGTATTTCTATGGCTTCGACTATGGCCAGCGTACGCATTCAAGCATATTAAGACCGGATAAGGGGAACCTCATAAATAATGCGGAATGTTTCACGTGGGTTGACACAATGACCACTGTCCACCAAATAGGTGAGAATAACACTTGTGAGAGATCCCGTACCACACCGACTCAGCAAACGGGGATAGTGTTCTCTCATGTGAACAGATAACTGCCGTATAACGGGATGGTTATGAGATTGAAAAAATTGTTTCCCTGAAACTGTTTCAAATATCATATCTTACTTAAGTTCAACTGTCTGCAACACTTTTGGGATGCATGAACACGTGTTTAAAAAAACTATATTGCACTCGTATTTCCCAAAACACAACTCCCAATCCGAACAGACCATGTTATTAGCACGTTTGATTGACATGGTGGATTTGCTAGCTTGTATTGGTGATAATGGCCAGAAAGNTTCCACTTGTTTTCTGGGCCAACGAAAATGATGATGATGATGATGATGGTCATTATATTTGTGCGCAGCCTTGGCTGTGTGCGTGTGCGTGTGTGATAACCTCCGCAGTAGTATACGGCATTAATGAGGCCATACTGATATCACTATGTTAGCTTTTGGGCAGTTAGACTGAATTAAAAATTACCCACGCAAATAATATATTAAAGACTAAAATTATTGTATCCACAATGCTCTCATTTTGCCATAATTTCAGTAATACAATGTGGCACTCATCGATCTTCATTAGATCCAACGAACTGCGCCAAGCAAAAGTGATTCAGTTCGGGTACTGGGAAGCTGGGTCCATGTGACCTCATTGTGTCCATTCTGGTGACTATAATGCTCTTCGTGAATGTCAAGCAACTTCCCAGATTTATGCATTGTTTGACTGCATGAACGCTGCTGGCGTCTATCAGGTTGTGTTATCTGACACTGATGGTATTCGACATGGGAAAACAAGTCACATGATGTTAGCAATTGATCTCCATCATATTTATCCCAATAATTTTGCTTGAACCTATTTGAAAAATATATACCAATTTATATGAGGAATTCGTGTAAACGAGGGATGAGCTCAAAAGAAGCGAAGCACTGGACAGCTGTTCCGACCTGGTTGGGTTTCATCAACAGTGCGAATTCATCTACCCGACGTGTGATGAACCCGGGACTTCATGGGTAGAACGCTACCCACTGCGCCACCGAGCAACTGGAGACATCCACGTGGAGGTCAACAGAGGACGTGGGAACGTGGCCTGAATAAATGAATAGGATGAGTATATAGAGTAGGTGCGGTCTATCTTCCAGGTTAAGGTCCAAAAAACGTATTAACTGGTTAATGGAGACAGTCAAGGATATGACAACTAACCGAAAACACTGGCGTTCTTGTTGTCATCTTTTATCAGGCCAGAATGCTTGTAAAGGTCTGTATGCATAGTTAAGTGTGCACTCCGTGTGTTTTCCATAGCGGTTCACTTGATTTGCTTTCATCCAGTTAGGACCAAAGCATATCCCTCTGTTACTTTCTTATTTACTTTGTGTAAATGTAGAGCTTGCCAGAAATCAGCGAAGTCCACTTCTCTGTATCTCTCTTTATGTGTACTATGATGATGATGACTGTTGATGAGACCCAACCAGATCGAAACAGCTTTCCAATGACTCTCAGCTTTTCATCTCACGTCTCATTTACACGACGAATTCATCATATAAACAAATAAAATCCTTCGTTAATCTCATACGTCTGGTTCGTAAGAAACAAACGTGACCTTGTTGTGTACACCCTTACATTGAGTCAGAAACATTTGTTCCTCAGACACTACTTGAAAAAGAAGAATTCCTAAAGAAAACGTTGCTGTGAAACGGCTACTTCTAAAGATTCATGGATACTAGTACAATATATCAAAAACTAACCGATCTCCAACTATTCCACAAAAGGCCAACTCCTGAATAATTCACTCCAAAAGTTAAACTAAGCCCATAACCGCCATTCCCAGCTGCTTAACAAGGACTTACTGACTCTAATTGTGAGACGAATTTGGACAAATCAATACACCGTTAGCACTACATTTATTTTTCACACAATGTATTCCTGTTCACCTCTAGTTGCGGTGGTGCATGCTCAGGCAGAAATAACAGTCGATTATGACAACCAATGATCGGACACATTCTAAAGTGATTGAGGAATTCAGTGACAGAGTCCACTCTCGATAGCCAGGCGGTCACACGGAATCCAAGATCATTTATTCCAAAAGAATTCATGACAACTGATCCCAGCTTCCGCTTGCAATTTCTAACTCCTAAATTGTAATGCAAAACTGTTGGCAATCAGTGAAGCATGGAGTGCTAAGCATGATACGTAATCCCGTTTTCTGCGCCAAAGAACTCATGCAGTTAGTTCATTGGCCGTGGATTTGACCCCTGTGTATTTTTGCAAGTGTTTGCTCGGGTTTCCCCACCCAAAATGCTAGGTATGTGTTTAATTTGTTTTACGTCAGAAATTGTGGAGTCTAAATGAAATT